GCTATTGCCATCGGAGTTCCCCGTTAGACGTTTTCCAGAAACTGGGTCCTACCATAGAAGGCTCAATTCTGGACACCCTAGGGTAACAGAATTACAGGATGACCGTTTTTTGAATTTGAGAATTTTACGAAACCGGCACCTTACTGTTGGACAAGTGATTCATCAACTCCAGGAAGTTCGAAGTGTCCAAATATCTGAACGCTCTGCTCGAAGAAGATGAAATAAGTATGGACTGATGGCTTTTCGCCCCGTAGAAATACTGAATTGACCAGAACACACAGAGTTGCTCGGTTCGCATTTTCTGGATTACACAGCCATTGGTCTTTGGACGACTGGTCTGCTGTACTTTATACAGATAAGTGGATGTATATGATTTGCTCTACCATCTCTATATGAGCGAGAAAGTGTGTGGATAAGGCGAATTGAAAGGTACGAAGCCTGTAACTTCTCCCAGAGCCAACCTTTTCAACGTATCTCAGTTATGGTGTAGACGGGAATTTCAATGGGAGTCGCACAGAGTTGGTTGTCGTTCGTGGACGGTCTTTGACGGCCACTCGCTATGTGGTAGAAATTTTGGAATGTCAAGCGTAGCCTATCCTCGGATGAAATCAGCGACAATCCTATTCTAATGTACGATAATGCTCGTCCACATAGAACGAACTTACCTTCAACATCATAACATCAGGGTCTGAGCCTAGCCAGCCCGTTCTCCAGACTTGAACCCCATCGAACATTTACGGGATAACCTCAAAAGACGTGTAAGAGCACGTCCATTACTTCCTGATACACTCCTACATCTTGAAAGGTCTTTTCGTGAAGAATGGGCTAACCTCCAGCAAAGAGATAGTTCCAGACTTGTAGAAAGTATGCCGAGGCGTCTTCGAGATGTAGTTATGACAAGAGGAGGAAATACGCGATATCGAAATAATAATTAAAAATCTAAAATGAAATTAAAACAAATTTTATCTGTCCGTTTTTTTTAAAACTTTGATTCATACATAAAAATATATGTAAATGAAGTTATATTACTTGTGGGCAAATTTTTTGCCTGTCAATATACTAGTCGGGCGACCTATTCACCCTAGTGGAATGTGTAAACTGTGAATTATTAAGTGACGACTATTCTGCTATAAAATAGTCTTTTAATATGTACTCGCCAGACTTGGCTTTATTCACAGAGTGATGCGGCAAACAGAATATTTTAATAATAAATAATAATAAAATATATACAAATAAATAATATTTTTTTAAAGTGAGACGAATTTCGGTATACTCAGTCCATGAGACTTTGTGTAAAAAGCTTCAAAAAATCAATGATAATTAATTTGAAATTAAAACAACTTAGGATCATAAAAGCTATATTTGAAGGAGAAAATTATGATTATAGATATTTTCACGCAAATAAATAAAGATAAATTTGCATAAAAAATCATCGTTTTGTTTATGTGTGTAGTTGGAATATTTGTATTGACAAATGTATTGAATAATGTGTATTTCTTAATGACCTGTTGTTTCCTAATTTGTTGAAGTCCTGAGGAGAGGTCAAGAATGATATCGTTTAAAAAAAGCCCTTTTTCATTTTTCCTCGACGTTTCGACTTTTATTCAAGTCATCGTCTGGCGTGGGTAAATTTCAAAATATATATTGATTGAAAAAAATACAGTTAAAGATGTAAATATTATTTCCTTAGCACCTGAAGATGACCCGAATAAAGGTCGAAACATCGGCAAAAAAATGAAAAAGGTATTTATCTAAACTACCTCATTGTTTTCCGCTTCTCACGACTTCAATTAATTACGAAGAATAATAATGTACAACTTGATAATAAAAATGGCTTATTATTTTTAAGAATTTCTCCTATTAGTTTGTTAAATATTAAATAATTAATGAACAGAACTACTAAGAATTTCAGATATAATAGATCAAGTTAGAATGTCCTTAAGGCAATAACTTTCATAAGTCCGGCTTTCAGTTGTGTTGTCTAACTAGTTTTGTTTTTTCTCTAGGTGTGCTTAATTTTAGTGAATGGATCTTCAATCCAGCTTTCCCAAGTAGTTTAAAGTCGGCTTCTGGGTCTCCTGCCTTTTTTCTACAAATGGGAACTAGTTTTTGTGGTATACCATCTTACTTGATACGACGTCTGAAGTGAAGTTGACCTCTATTCTAAATGCTTTTTTTTTTCTTTGTTAAATTTCCTTTCATATCCATCTCATCCATATAACGTTTTTTTGTCGGTCGAGGCTTTTATGTGATCATTTACACGATATAAATGGTCGTTATTATCTTGAACGATGCCCTTTTTTTAGTGTTTTTGATCATATAACTTATAAGTAGTGAATGAGAATGTCCTTTTTCATCCCAGTGTCGAATCCTTTCTCTTATAGTGATATCCTTTTCTTACCCGACGGAGAGCTTTACTCAGGCATGCAAGCCGCGTATTTTCTTCCGTTCTTTTATACACGGGAGAGAAAAGTAGGAAAGACTCCTGGGCTTCCTGATGGACCAATATTGTGTTGGTTAGTCAAAAGTGTGCTTTCAGCCTCCGGCTCTATAGACAGATATCTAAAGAAAAAGGGTTTATTGAAGGAATATGATTAGGAACTAACGTGGACAAGAATAGTAAGGAGAAAAGTTAAGAAATCATAAAGATTGTTTCAAATTACACTCGAATACATTAAAAAAGTCAAACGAAAGCAACATAGAATTTGTCAACGAGAAAATTATGTTTTTTCATCAATATAAATAAAAATAATTAAAAAAATAGGATAAGGTTTTTGTTGTATTATTATTAATTAATTATTGTATATATTTGTATTATTGTTAATTATTTATAGTATTTGAATGGAAGAATAAAAGGATAACGATGAGCGTATACTCATGCTGAGACTTTTCCAAGTTTGATTCCATTATAATTGGCCATACACGCTTATGGGAAATGTTTAAATTATGGAACAAAAATTCGAAATGCTAATTAAAATATAAGCATAAATTTTCTAATTTAAAATGGGTTTGCATACATTTGGCCTTCCAGTATTTTAAAGGGATAAGTTGAAACTCTGGATGGGGATAGGATAGATTATTTTCTANTATATTTGTACATTTTGTGATTTTGTTTATCCTTATCAAGTGTAAAGTTTGAAAAACTAACCAAGTTTTTTCTAATTGAATCTTTGCCCAATTACATGTTCTCGAGACTTGTAAATAATTGGAATGAGGATTGCTCCGGTGTGAAAAGTATGAAAAATCTCTTTTCAACTTTAACATTTTCTGTATATAAATTAGTGTTTGTAATATATTATGCATATAGGACCGGTTTGAGTTATGTTCTCTAACCCGTTATTTCTATTTATTAATTCTTAGACTGGCAATAGATATCGCACGACAAAAAGACATGAAAATGCGCTTACAGCTCATATTAATTCTTAAATTTATTTGCTGGAACATTACCTTGGGTAGGTTATGCTCTGTCTAAAGTAATTAAACCGTCTTCATACATAATAATTATATTCCATAAAAACTATTAATCATTAATTAAGTTGGGTCTATTTCAACCCGTATGTTTTTAACGTCGTTGTCATATATCATATTAATTTCAATAACACGTACATATATTTGCTCATGCAGACGGAGAAAAAGGTTTTTGGTTCTATCAACCAAGATAGTTAAAAGATTAATCAGTCTGTGCGATATAACGGGTTAAGTAACTTACGAATAATTCAATTGACGTCATTTTTACTCACATTCTTGATTATTATTCTTTGCGATTTATTTTGTACGCCGGTCATGGCAGATTATCGAATTGTGTTAAAATTCATTAAATATATGATTAATTAATGAAATAAGATCAACTTAAACTATGTACACTCGAGTTGATCCTATCACTTCTCGCAGCTCACAGGCAATTCCAACTTTAGTAATTTACAATAAATTACCGGCAGGGCTCGAGAATCATTCACCTCAGATGTGGGCTGACCCGGGTCAGACTTCGGTCTTATCCGTCCAACCACCGAGGTTGGGCTCCGGGTGCTGTCAATAGTTCACACATAAATACATTCTTTTTTATTCACATTGACTGAGTTAACGTGGTGGTAGTCGATATCCCTCCATCACCCTTTTCACCATATAACTAACATAAATGAGGGTCGTTAGGGTAGTCAACCGCCATCGGCTATTTCACACTACATACACGCTAATAAATAAATTCACTCTCAACACAATAAAGCAACCCTGTTTCTTCTAAGTATTGGAACTGGATATCCAGCACTCAAGCACTCTTTATTTGAAGCAAAGGAATTGCACTGTGTATCAACCTGGCATGGCTTATTCATAGTCACATGAGAATGACCTTTCTTTTACGGGTCAAGTCCTCCGAAGGCCGCTTATCGCCATGCTCTTGATATCCGTCCCACTTACTTTTAATCATGTTTTATTGCATTTTTATCGTTAGGGGACTGGATCGCGTTGGTTAAGTCCAGAGGTTTTTTTAAAATCTTTATCTATGATTTCTGAAGTCTCACTAAGGTTCAGTAAGTAAATATTATTTTTTGTTACACAGCTTAGTGCTGCGAATTCTAAAATAAAATACAATATTGGATTGACAGGTGTTTTTAAAACTAGTTATGCAAAATAATTCTAGAGCAAAAATATGTCTATTATCTTATCAAAAATATGTAAATTTCTATGATGTCACGTTTCCCCTCGGTGGTTACCATGCTGTCCGTAACTCATGAAATTTCATGCAATCAGCTTCGAATAATGAGGAAGACACGCAATGTCCATCATCAACAGTGAAATCAAGCGGACCGAACACAAAATTATAATTTTGCATATTAGTTACTCACTTTCCTTTAAACGAATATAACGCGAATATAGTGGAAAAAAAAGATGATCTTATTGATCTTAAGATCTTATTTTTGACATAATTTTTCTAATAGTTAATGCAGTTTATTTTATACATTCTTTGTTTTTATTTTAATCGTTTGTTTTTTAATTTGTTTCAGGCAAAAAGATCATACTGCGGAATTTAACCGGAGAATTTCAATCGGGCGAGCTGACGGCCATTATGGGGCCATCCGGCGCTGGGAAATCCACTCTACTCAACGTGCTCGCCGGCTTCGTGTAAGTATTAATTTGTTAATTTCAGTTAATAGTTAATAATTTGTTAATTTTCTTCGTTTCAAAACCGCTGTTCGAACTAGGCAAACCGCCGATCTTATTGAACAGGAAAGGGAAGTAAGTCAGGGCGTGCCGTAATTCATATGCTAAATCGTCCTTCCTCCTTGACAATGACGGACAGGGCTAAGGCCTTCCATGACGTGATATTTTCTTTTAAACTCTATTTATACCATGGGATTATCACCATAGGATTTCTATTATTTAGATGATTACACAATTTAAACTATAGGCCTTTTTACAAACATTTCCTATCAGTCCTATCACAGAATATGTTTTCAGAAGTTTTTCAATTGTAGCTTATTTTGTGAAACCAGTTTTTTTATTCTAACTCATTCAATGATTAGAAACTCTGTGGTTTGTTAGTACTGCAGTAATAAAAGTAATAAAATGGTCTGCATATTCTAGCTCGTTTCATTTTTTTCTCGACAGCTTCTGAATTTTTTTATGTAACATCCTGGAGTTAAGGACCTCAACGTCTGAGATCAGTATTGATAAGAAGGACATTTAGAATAGTTTCATATTTTTTTCTTATAAATTGTACCTGTATTCGTTTAGTGAACGATTACGTTTTTTTCCCTTTGCCCGTTTGCAAATTGATCAATTATTTGTGATTTTTTTATATGAGCAGTTTTATTTATAGTTTGTAGTTTACACATCATACCCTACGTTCAAAAAAGTTAAATTTTTGGACTAATACCGACTAATGTATACATCGCGTTTGTCCGATTAACGAAACTGTGAATATAATTTATTATCTTGTTAGTCTTTTTTATGTCATATTAATTTTTTTTTTAATTTATAGCACTGTCTGCATAGAATTTACACAAATGTATATTTCACGACAAATAAAATTCCCCTGATCTCTTTTTATTAGAAAATTTTAAAATAAATAAAAATGCCTGTAAACCATTTTAAATTTTAATAAAAAAAATACATAAAAAGTTAGAAAAACTTTTTTACTTAACCAAAAAACGCTTCTAGTAAAGTAGTTTCTGAATAATACAAATTAATAACATCTGAATTTTTAATAATCTAATTTTATTAAGTTCTGAATTTACGTTAGAAAACTGATGTCTATTCTTTGGCGTATGTTAACAAACTAGTTTTTTTATGCCATTCTAAATGTAAAATGAAAGATATCCAATTTTTGTGATTTTGGGTAAAATCGGATGGCAGGAGAAAAAAATTATTTGATTTTCGTGGCTTTTTTTTTTTTTTTTTTTTTTTTTTTTGTACAACTTGGCACACCGATTTTTCTACGTTGCTATGAAAAAATCGCCTGATATAACTTTGAAATACACGTAGAACATAGATAGAAACACATATTTAGACACAATTAAATATATTTTTATCGATTTGGCTTATTGGCAAGACTTTGACACGAGTCTAATATTTTTCTATTTACAAGGGGGCGACCAGGTTGGTGGGTCAGGGATTTGGACCAAAATTTTTTAGGTGATTCTACACTCCAAAATATCCGACACGTATCTGTTGCTTCTTGTGAATAGTCCCTGGATTTGCCAAAAAAAAAAAAAAATTTTTTGGTTGTGAAATGTTTCTTTTTTAATATTTTTATTTCTCTCTTCCACAAATCAACTATGTGAAAATATCATTTTACAGCATTGTTTATGTAAATTGCAAAAAAACCTGTCATAATTAATCAATAAGCCAAAAAATTTTAAGTCCGTAATATTTTTCAATTAAACTAGGTCATAATTTTTTAAATGAGAATTTTAACGTCAAACTTACCATTTGGAAGAAGATGAACGTAGCTTTTTTACGATGTATGTACCATCAAAATATAAAATAAATATATATAATATTTCTATAAGAAAGTACCCAAAACAGCAAAATAATTTGCCGGAAATTAACCTCGTTTTTCTAAATGGTAATAATAATCCGATTTTTTACGTTATAAAATAAATTAATGTTATAATACAGTTATATAATACCCTTGAAAATTTCATTAAAACGAATTCAGCCATGAAAATCGGTCACCAGGTTTTGAGAAAAATGATGTAACATAATTTTTCTCAAAACCTAGTGGACCGATTTTCATGGTTGAATTCGTTTTAATGAAATTTATAGTAATAATATTAATGCAGGCAGACTAGAAGAACAGAGTCGAGTAATATTTTAATGCCATATACGTCGCTTGAAAGGTGCTTTCCCTTTTTTCCTTCAAACTGTCTTTTTTGAATTTTACCCGTTTCAATCAGATATTCCGATAATGACTTGTCAAAGCTCGGAAAAAATTACTTTACACTAAGCGTTTTCTAAAGGTGCTAAAACGAAATCTCATATCGTTTCAAGAAAAAAAATATGGCCTAGTTTACTTGAAAAATATTTGGTTTTTAGAAATGTTTTGGTTATTGATCAACTTTAATAGGTCTAACAGGCAATCTAATATCACTTTAATGAAAAAAAATTATGACCTTGTGATAAACTTTGATAGCTGTTATGATATTTTTTATTACAATCTACTTAAAATTGTTGTAAAATTATATATTCAATAGTTGATTTGAGCCAGTAAAACGATGAAATAAAAATATTAAAAGCGGCAAATTTCAAATCTTTTTTTGGCGACATCAGGGTCTTTTCATAAGAAGTAGTGGATACCTGCCCAATATTTTGGAGTGTAAAATCTCCAAAAAAGTTATAGAAATGTCGATAAATTTAAATTCAAACAAAAATTTATATTTGTGGGTCTTTAGAGATGCTAAAACGAAATCTAATATTAGTTTCTTGAAAAATAAAAATAATAAAAAATATATTTATATAAATTTAATAAATAAATAAATAATAAAATTACGACCGAGTTTACTTGAAAAATACTTGGTTTGTTTTTCGATTTTTTTTTGTTATTGATTAATTTTGATAGCTTTTACTATATTTTTATTACAATCTACATAAAAATGCCGTAAAATGATATATTCACATATTAAAAACGGTAAATTTCAACTTTGAAAATTGTGTTTGGCGAAACCCGGGTCTGTTCACAAGATGTGTGGTATACCTGTCTGATATCGTGGAATGTGAAATCATCAAAAAAAGTTACCGAAAAGTTGATAAATATAAATTCAAACAAAAAATTATATTTAGTGGTGTCGAAACGATAAAAGGTAATCTCATAATAGTTAAATGAAAAAAAAATTATGATCTAGTTTACTAGAAAAAATTATTTTTTGTTATTGATAAACTTTGATAGCTTTTACTATAGTTTTGTTACAATTACTACGTACAAAATGCTGTAAAATGGTGCATTGATATAGTTGATTTGAGCAAGTAAAACGGCGAAATAAAAATGTTAAAAACGGTAAATCTCAAATTTCAAAATTTTTTTGGCGAAACCAGTCTTTTCCCAAGAAGTGGCGGATACCTGTCCGAAATTTTAGAGTGTAAAATCACCACAAAAAGTTACCGAAAAATAGATAAAAAGTAAAAGTCGGTAAATATAAATTCAAACAAAAAACCATATATTTAGTGGTCTAAAAGGAAATCTCTCATATTACTTTAATGACGAAAAAATTATGACCTAGTTTACTTAAAAATTATTAATTTTTTGACTTTTTTTGTTATTAATAAACTTTGATAGCTTTTACTATATATTTATTACAATCTACGTACAAAATGCTATAAAATGATGCATTCATATCGTTTATTTGAGCAAGTAAAACGGCAAAATAAAAATGTTAATAACGGTAAACCTCAAATTAAAAAAAAAAAAAAATGGGCGGATACCTGTCCGATATTTTGGAGTGTGAAATCACCAACAAAAGTCCAAATCCGTGACACACCAACCTGCTTGTAAGGTAATATCTAAGTACGATTGTAGATATTTCAAATTACATATCTAAGAAAGGCTTATGTTACACTTTTGCCTTTTATTTATGTAATTGTGTACCTTCCTTGGAAGATGATAGGCCGGTGTGATGACGGTACACGTCTTGAGACCACTGTACTGAACATGTCAAATTCTACTAGCGATTCATGATTGCAGCTTAATAGACCTGCTGGTAAGGCCTCTCTCGCGGATTTCCTTTATACCGTGTGTCGGACGTGTCGGTTTGCTTCCATTGTAACACAGCGTTACCAGTTTCCACGCCGTCACCTCCTTGACAGGCGGTCGACATTGGAAACGGTTCGCACAATAGTTTCCACCAGTTTATCAAGCAATGTAACATTCAATAAGTGCATAATTACAGTCTGAACAATATCAAACGTTTTATCGTACATTTTACAACCCCGGGCCGATTCGACCGTTCAAGCGTTAACAAGGAAGGGATTTGTAATCATCGCTTTTCTGCATGTTAGATAGATTAAAGTTTTCGAAATTTCTACCTGTTGTTTGGTAAGAAAAAGGTAATAAAATATAAAAGACTCATATTCCAAATAAATTCCAAATGTCATGGCCCTCCCTCATCCTAACCAATAGTTGAAAAATATACGTTATATCGTGAAGTGCTCTTTGCCTATGATAGATTTTCTTTTCGACATTTCTTAATACCAATGTATTTCACAGTACGTAGTCGTTCTATAGAGCAAACATTAAATAACATGAATTTTAAATTAGAACAACAACTGTTTTAAGTTTAAACTTTCATTTCAAATTTACTTTTTTAATTTCACAGTAATCCTTTTAAATTTAAAACTAATACGTTTTGCACCATGTTAACCATATTAAATTTCAAATTGTGTTAACTTTCCATCAACGTTTTTAATTTAAAACTACACCTTTTTAACATCAAATGAACACTGTTTTAATGTGTTAAAAACTTTTAAGATAGTATGAAATATAACTATATAACGTTAAAGTTCCTTAAGTTTGAGTATTAAAAAAACATAACTGGTTGTTAGAAAACCATATGACAATTACAAAAAAAAAAAATTATATCAAATTTAATGTAAAAACAAATAACTCATCCTTACATTTGATAATAATT